AAAACTTTGAATAGTTGATTTAAATTTCTCAGTGTCTCATCCCTAACTTTGTTCACCAACAAAAATGATTTAGTAGATAAAGTTTGTTTATTAAAAATACAAGAAACGTATTAATTAATGAATAATTAAATATGAACAACAACTTCAGGAACTAAACAGTCACAGACTGTGTCATCTTCTTCTACTAAACTTACTGGTTGTAAGGTTAGAACAGTTGGGTATCAATGAATGAAATCTTCGGTAGTATCGTCCCTGTTTTCCCCAACCAGATTTAGAAGTTTTTTCATATTAGCAACCTTTTCTTTTGAAATTGGGTGAGATAGAGGAAGATTAGGGATCATAAACTGGGCAGCGGACTTTCTATTCAAACTATTGATGGTATATGGAGCTTTATCTATCATTTTCAAATTTTATCGCTTAATGTATTTAAAGATAATGAGGAATTTTTAAGCGGGAAACACGTTTCGAAAAATTCATGAATGAAATGATCAGTAAACTCACGTTACTATAGTAACTAAGTGGTATTTAACGTTTTCCTCGCCTACTATAATTAAAATTTTGAATATTAATCTTTAATATTTTAGAATTAAAAAATAACGCTTATTTTCCCCAAATACACCATGCGTGCAATACATCATTGGAAAGCTACAAATATGCTCTTTTCAGTAACACCATAATCTATTATAGTTTGTATTTAAAAAAACACAACTTTGTGTTGTATCTCAAAAATCATCAAATATTTTTAAAAATTTTCAACGGCAGTATATTCTACTTAAAAAAGTGTCTTAAGAACGTATCAACCGCATTTCTCTAATTTCAAAAATAAACGAAATATGAGCATTTTTAGAAATCACAAAAATTTGACTTTTTGGCTATAACTTAAAAACAAAAGAAGATAGAGGTTTAGTGTTTGCAGGATTGGGTTAGTATCGAAAAAAGAGACCGGGACATGGCACCTACTTTTTTCGTATCTCCTATAGTTTCTGAGATAGCCTATAATAACACCCAAATTTGCCCACCCTGTACAGATTAATCAGAATCATATATCAGACATTCCACACATCTTGTGGAATCAATCAAAAACTGTAAAGACAGATCCCCAGAGTATCCTGGTAAATTTCGTTGTGGTAGTTCTATTTAGCTGCATCATCGACATATTTCAGCTGATAGAGAGAATTCTACGAGCAACGTGAAGGAGGAGACATGGAGATATTTGAAGAAGAAGCATTAAGGAAAAGACTGTACAAAAAAGCTATGGAATTCTGGTAAATTGTGAAGAAGTGGGGTATAAATTGATGACTGTGTTTATATTAATTATAAGTATTAAAAAATGGTAAAAATAATTTTTACTTACAACAGTTTGTAATTTTTCTAATGTCTGTTTAGTATCTCGAAGTTCCTCATCGGATTTTCTCAATTTATCTTTCAACCTATCAATTTCAGTAAGCGATTGCTCGTACAGCCTCTTATAATCGATTTCGCCATTTTCACCCCTTAAAATTAAATCGCTTGAGCTGCTAACGCGCGAACTTCTTCCCGATCTTTCATTACCACTCTGAAAAAATATTAAAAAAAAGAAATAAAAACAAATTCCGTTGTTAAGCTTAAATCAATTAAGTCATTAAATTATAATTAAGTAACAAATAATTGTTTCACAGAAGATTCTAAGAGAAAGAACTTTTCTTTTCCCATTTGATTACATTAGTAGTTCAAAGACTCCATCGTCTATTTTAGTTCGGAGCTTTCGCCCTCCAATTATACGAATAATTAATAATAGGCGCGCGTTATTCCGGGAAGGGCGTAAATATAGGCTAAACGCACTGGTAGACAGCGACGGCGGCGGAGTTGGCGGCACGCGCTCGCAGTCACGGTATAAAATTGGTTGTAATGTTTATTATTCGCTTCTATTTAAAAGCGACGTGTGCCAACACCGCAACCATCAAAAACTGGCACGTGCAAACCAAAAAACTATAAAACCACTTTTAGAAAATAATCATCACCCAAAAAAAAATTACTTACAATATAACCCTCTGAATTTAATGAAGTTAAACTATGCGATCTTGAACCCATCCCACTACCCAGCGCTTGTAAGGCATTTTGAGCTCTAGTTAAAGAATTTTCTCTTGTAAAACTCCCCGATCGGCTCATTTGCCTTGACGTTCGTCCTCCACCACTAACATATTCTCTACTATTATCATAAACCTTCGAATAATTAGGTGTGACCACGTTAATGTTGGTTAGGGCTTTGGCGGGAATTGTTAAACTCGCGTAACCGCTTGGAGAAGATCCGCTTCTATAACTATTTTGATAATACGGGCTTTTATAATTCGATGAGTAACTTCCGTAATTCTTATAAGAAGAAGTCGGCGAGTAATTTGTATAAGGAGTATTTGACGGAATAGCGGCTAAAGCCGATGAAAACGGACTACTATGCGAACCCATGTAACTTCTCGGTCTGTTATAATTGGTGGATGAGCTGGTGGAACCGTTTCGAACGGCCGAAGATGATCTTCTTCGAGCCGGAGGAACGGGTTGTTTCGATCTGAACGACATTTCCCTCAATGAGAAACCTAAAATAATTCTTACACCGATTATGTTGTTTTTTTTAGCGCCAATTTTAGTATTTGAAGAAGAAATTTTTAGTCACATCACAACCACAAATTTAAAAAAAAACTTAATTTATTTATTAACATTTTCTTCTTCAAACGCAAGTAAGTGAAAATATTTACTTTTTCACCACACCTATAGAAAACGAAAACAAACCGAGAGAGAGAATACGTGTGAACGTTCAAGGCTCGAGATACGTTTGAAAACTGGCAGGAATTCTACGAAACAACCAATTTATGTAAGTCCGCGACGGTCAAACGGTGCCAGCGTTTCTAAAACATTTAAGTCCCGATATATTGAGAATCTGTCGATAATACTTAAGGTCGAACATTTCAAATTGTAGGACAGGTGTAAAATGAACGTTGTTGCCAACGAACAGAGGAAGAAGTTAATGTCCATTTGGTGCCAAATCTTTATAGTAAAATCGACACCAACTTAAATTACTCTAATCCTTTACTTAAAATAAATGGTTTAAAGATAGAAAGAGAAAGACAATATTGCAAAAACAGCTTCTAGTTGTTTGGAAACGGTCCAAAAAAAGACTTTATTATCGCGATTAGAGCACGCCTCCCCCATTCAAAAGATGCAACGGGAAAACGCGACAGAAGGAAGTCGAAAACACCAGAAATAGACGAGGGGGGAACACATTACGCGCTTTATTCGCACGGTCTTCAAAATGTTCTGCGGTTTACACCGTAACCATTGCGACACCTTTGGCACGGTTTTTACGGTGACAAAATCTCACATAAATATCGTTTATTTCGGTGTGCGTTTGATTATTATTGCCTTTTAGGTAGCTTTATAAAACTAAGACTTAAAATAACACATAGTATATATAAAACTTGATTGAAAACGTGATTCAAAATTCGTAAACTTTGAAACGTCCGCGTTTGAAATAAACTTGAATTAATTACACAATTAACTCTTATTAGAGAAGTAGAATATTCTAAAATTATACTCGTTTACCCCGGAGGTAGTGACTCATCTCTTAAATAATTAGAGCTTAAATTAATTTACTGCGTTTTTTACTCAATCTCGAAAATCTATAATCAGATTTAGTTGAAAAAATAGAATTATGTTTTTTAGAGTAAATAATAAATAATCAGTGAGAGTAAGAGTAAGTTAGCACTCGCAAAGTGACCAAAACCCAAATCATAGAGTTTATTGATTTACGTAATTTTTGCGTTACGTATTAAATAAAATGTTGCGACTACTAAAGAAGGTGGATAATCGAAAAGTTTTGTGCGTCATCGTGAGTTTGATAAATTGGAACCTTCGAAAACTTGCGACACTTCAACGACCCACTTGGTTTTTCGAGGTACGGATCAAGGTGTAGGTCCGCCAAATATACACATCGCGTGCCAATTTTTACCCGCCTCCACGTGTCGAGAACGAATCTACCAAATTTAACAGACTTCTCAACATAACAAACAATCCAAATATACCCATTCATACGATTTAAAACACACTTGCGGTCCTCTATCAAACAAATCAGAAATAATTAAGTTATTTTCCAACAATGCATTCTAATTGATTGGAAATTTATTTATGTCAAATAATGTATAGTGAAATATTTCTTACTTTGTGGATGTCATGCATACAAAATCCATACAAAGCATGACTGTGATTATAGAGCTCATCAACATTCTCTAAATTTTTAAATACCTTTATATTACAACATGTTTAAGATATTATAGCAGTCGTGCTAACTGACGTGGATGGAGGAACGTTTTTAGTAAGGCCTGCCTGCAGCGGTCAAAATTATTGTTTAATTAAATTAAACAACTGATATTAATCACGACTATCCGAAGTTTTTCTTACACTAACTGAATTAAATTAACATATAGAGGAAAATCTGATTAACTGTTTGAACAAAAGAACTTAGTGTTTTTGAAATTTATTGAATGTCTAAGTTTATATGATCCAATCCTTAAAGAACATCTTCGACGTATAACGTCTAAAAAGAGACAGGTTCATTATCTTATTAAAGACATACAAAATGAATTATATAGTAGGTATATTGGCAGAAATGACAAAAAAGAAAATCAAGTGACGTAAACAAGTGAGTCTTTGACAAAAACTCATTGAGAATTCTTGTTTTCCATGACACACTAGGCTAAATATCCATATGATATGTGAGCATTTTTCAAAAAACCCTAATTATCTCCCAAACTATTAATGTTAGGTATGGGACATATAGGATATAAAAGATGTAGAATGAGACACCGAAGACGACTAAGTAATAAAATATGGGGGGTGCCATTTAAAAAAATTAAGTTATGGTACTTTCAAATTTAGAAAAATTAAAGTGCCATAGTAAAGTGACCAAACGTTCTAGACAGCCGTTCTCGGCACCAAAACATACTCCAACATGTTGCTTAAGCATGTTCTGAATCCTAAATTGATATCCCAAAAATCGAGTGTTCTCTGATTTTTTGAACATATGTCTGCTGGAGCAGATTTTTTTTAGAAAAATGGCAATAACTCGAGAACGGCTGAATCATATTGCAAAAAGTTAAGTTATTTAAAACCTTAAAAACAGACAATTCCAAATATGCAAAAATATACAGGATGTTCCATTAAAAAAAATAAAGTATGTGCATCATCTTCCAGTTATACCGGAAGTGCTACAAATCTGAAAATATTTTAGTCAAAGAGAACCCTAGAAACGTCTAATGACCGGTTTCGCTGAGACACCCTGTATATTTTTAGACATAATGAAAGTACTAGGTTTAGACATTTACAACTTGTAGAGGATAGGGCAATGGAGCCAATATGATCGGTAAGAATAACGGACTACAAAAACATATTTCAAATATAAATCCGAGAGCGTTATTTGTTCGTAGCTCCTGTCACTTTGTTAATCTTGTTTTAAATGATGCTGCAGAATCAGGAATAATACAAAGCTTGTATAATTTTTTTCTGCATCCATTTATAGATAGTCTATTCTTGTCAAACATCTGACTAATTTAACATTAAAACCTGTATATTCTACGAGATGGGAAATTAGGATAAATGCGATCAACCCCGTTAGATTTTTGTCTCGTCACTTTTTGGTATTGTAGAAGATACGTCTTTGCTTGATTCTCATGGAAATAATACTAAAGTAGAAGCAAGCAATATATTAGAGAAGTTAAATTATTAGGTCACATGCATTACAATAATTTGGTATAAATAGCAATGTATGCAATGGACTTTTAGATGTTAACAGAGTAAATCTTCTACTAGAAAGCCCAAAATGCACGGTTTGTGCAGCAAACAACTTCAAATTCTGCAAATTCAATAAACGTACAACCAAACTTTACAGAAATTAGATTAAGATGTCGAACTTAATTTCAATAACGAAACTTTTGACAACCCAATACAAGATCCGTCACAAAAATTTGAAGTTGCGTTTTCAACATAGATTCAGATTTTTGCACAATCTTGCCAAGCTAAGAAATTGGGAAAAAGAAAACGTCATAAAGCAAAGCATGAATTTGGAGATTACTCTTACACATAACAACAGAAAAGACATTGACGGCATTCACCTGGCGGAAGAGTTTATTTAAAAACTTTTAAACCCATGTGATACACCTTATGAAGTTTTGAAATATATTTTAAACAACAACTTAATTATTATATGTATATCCAAATCTTTATATCGCTTTGAAAATCCAAAAAGGCGAGAATTTTAACAAATTTATATTTGTTAGTTTGCAATTTGCAACTTGTTCAATAAATAAACAGAAATAAATCAAGTGCATTTTTGAAAGGACACTTTTTTAAATTTTTATTTAGGCAAGGGTGGCCAAATCCATTTTCGCCTATAGCGGCCAAACCTAGCGGATAATGATAGATAATATTAACTAGCAAAAGAAAAAGAACCGTTTAGCAGCCTCCAAGGGCCTCATAAAGATTTAGGATTTTGCAAAAAGAGCTGTATAGTCAAAAAGTTCGTTCTTTCTTCTCTTCCCATCACTATTCTCCATAAAAATAAATTAATTAAGAAAACAATTAATTATAACTTTTATTTTTTTGATTAAAATGACTTACTTCTTGATGATTCACTTTGGTGGAATCATCAAAATCACCACCTCCACCTGTCGATTGATCTTTTTCCGATTCCCCATCTTCCATATTCTCCAAAGTAACGACACCGGTTGATCGTCTTTTGGGTCTCCTTCTCCGTTGAATAGCAGCTTGGGTAGCCAAAGTAGCTTGTGCATTTCTAGCATCGTTTTCTTTATCTTGTTCCAAAGCGACTAATAAAACACAAAAATTACAAAACGAAACATCACAAAGATTAAATTCTTACTTTTCTCTTCGGTAGATTTAGGTCTTCGTAACGGTAAAGTTACGGTTGTATCCGCAGTTTCTACAGGAGCGGACGAAGGTCTTGGAAGAGGATTACTTTGAAGGCCGCTCCTTCGAATGTACGATGGAGTTGAAGGTGGTTCTTCCGGTTTGTTCACATCCTCAAGTTTAAACTAAAAAAAAATAAAAGAATCGAAATATTTATCGTTGAAATTAATATTGCGTTTTAAAAAAGCAACCATTCAAACGAACGTCACGATAACATTAATTGATGAGATTAACTCATCATCTGATTCAAATAAGGATAAAACACATTCGTCAAGGTCATCAGGTTGCTTTTTTAAAAAAAGAATAATCATATATCACAAATTTGTAAATCTAATAGGAATGTGTGTTACGTAAAGATAGATTTAATTACGTGTGAAAAAACGTTTATTGAAATTATTTATAGGTGTTGAATTACACAGAACGAAGTTAATAAGCTGACACCGAATTAATTATTGTTCATTATTTATAATTTTTTCTACAAATAACAAAAACCTAAAATTAAAGTGTTTTCCTTAATTAAACTAGAACAAAGGTAAACAACGCAAATAAATTATAGTTAGGTAGATTAACAAAAGCAACGTCTCTATCTACACAAATAAAAGTAAGATTTATGAAACAAGAATAATAATTATGATTTAGAAAATAATTAAATGAAATTAGGTAAAGGAAAGCGTTATGTACATACTAACTACAAACAACTATAAACTACCAGTAAAGTGATAAGGTAAAATATGTGTACGAGAGGGTGGCACAACATAAATAAAGAAAATGCTAACAGAAAGGTGGCTTCAATCTGAAAAAGAAAGAAAAACAAAGGTACGACGTTTGTTAATTTGATGCAATTGTATGGTGTAGTTAAACTTATATTAAACCTACCTTTATTTTTAAAAAAAGTATAATAAAATATAATCAATTAACATCACATGCAACAATGACCTTCGTTGACATCCAACAAATTCAATTTAATAAAAAAATCGTCCGTTAAGAACAAAAATTCATCCTTAACATAAAAAAATCCTTACCTTGCTTCCATTATCGACCCGCAATCTCCACGAGGGCCTCCTTTCATGCGTTGTAACAACCGGTTCTTCGGTATCCCTTGTAATAACGGTTGGCGTAGCTGTGGTGATGGTGGCGGTTACGCTGACGGTAGTGTTAGAGTCTCCGTTAGCCCCCGACTGTTAGTTGAGTAGAAAAGCGTAATAGAAAAGCCAAGTTATCGACATAAATGATAAAACGAAAAATTTTTCTTTTTTATTTTGTAATTTAAAAGGGGGATAGATAAACATGAATGAATTAGTTAGTAAAACTAAATTATAAATAAAACGAAATAAAAAAATAACAAAGAAAAAAAATTACCTCTACGTTATTGTTGTTATTATTATTATTGTTCGTAGTTTGATTCTTCATCTTAACCAGTTGTTCGGCGGACTTGATTTCTTCCAGAGTCACCCCTTGCGTTGATCTGCGCGTCTCTCGTACTCTCTTCGCGTGAGCCTTTCGTTGAGTTTCGCTCTCTTCATCTCGAACGGGCGGAACAAAAGACCTTCAAAAAATATATTCGTTTATATAATATTAAAAATACTTTTTTGTTTGGATTATTTAATGAAAACGAAAAAATTCCAACCAACCAAATGTCTTTTTTTGATCTTGGAAGATATGTATTTTGTTAACAAAAAAACACACAAATTTTTTTAAGTCATTTAAACGCAACCACTCAAAGAAGACCATTCAAAATCATACTTGAAGAAGTTTTTGATCATGGTGAGCCTGTTGTTTCCATTGGATGGTGTAGTGGGGGTTGGGGGCGTTGTAGTCTGAACACTACTAGTGGGTGGTGTGGCGCTTGCAATCGCCAACTTCAAGCCACTATGGCCAAAATTATTTTTTTATAATTTCAATTTGATCCATACACAACAAAAAGTAATAAAAAAAACAAATAGAACAACAAATAGGAAGCAAAATAGCAACAAAAAGCTTACATACCTCCTAATAGGTACAACATTTGGCAGTGGACTACTAGAAACCGTTTTTGTCGATGGCGTTGTTGTAGTGGTGGTTGTTGTATTAGTTGTTGTTGTGGTACCAGTGATTTCGGGTGTGCTACTTGTCGCGTCTTCGTTTTCAATTTTATTAGACTTGCTACAAAACGGACAAACACAACACGTAAAAGAGACAAAAGGTACACCAGGACAATAGACGATAAACGTACATTAAAATATAAGAAAGAAAATGTTAAGAAAATAGAAACCCCCTTTAAAATTTTATTCTAATTATTAGAAAAAATAGTAATTCTGATATTTAGTAACTAACAGATCAATTTTTGTTATATAATATAATATTAAATAAATAATATTTCGGGGAGATTATTTCTTTCCTCTATAACTATAATTATTTCTATTTTCGGTTATATCGACGTGAACAGTCAGTCAGTGTAGCATGCAAAGCCAGCTATGCAATGCCATTCACGTACAAAAAAAAACAATAAAATTTTTTTCTTCAGACCCACGGGGTTCCGTACTTTAATTGTGTTTTTTTAATTTGAAGCTACTTTTGTTAATATCTACAAAAAAAATTAAAAGAAAGAGAAGAAGTAAGATTTTTTTTGAAATTATTTAGTCTCTTTGCAATCTATCTTCATTTAAACAAACGATACAACAACTTCACTTCGTTATGTTTATACAACTTACTCAAAATTTTCAATTTCTCCATAAAAATCGCCTTGAAAGCAACACATTCTTAGTGTATCACCAAACATTTCTGTTTATACTTAAATTTGACTTTTAACACGTCAATTTTAACATAAATGAAGTAAATGAAGTCGTCATATCGTTTATTTATTTTTTTTTTTATTTTAAAACTCGTTGAATATTATTATTTTATTACTTTCAAAAGTGAGTGAATGCGATATTATGTTTATTAGTACTAGAAAATTAACGATGACGTATTAAAAAAAAACTAACGTGCATACCTGAGCTGCCGCTGGTTTGAGTTATTGAAAAGGGGTGGGATAAAGGTTTGGAATTTGTCCTTGTTCGGGGGATGGTAGTAACACGGGAAGGAATTAGCCTGGATGCGTGAGCGCAGCTCCTGATACCGCGCGTAGAACCTAAACATGCAAGCAGCAGTGTCAGAGTGCTGAGAACGCGGTCGCCTATCCGGGGCCCTACTACTTTAGAATGGGCCATTTTGATACATTATGTTTATTTAACCGTCAGCAACTCTTTTTTTATTCTATGTTATTCTCGTTTATTGACTAAAAATCAAGTTTTTAAATAATTTAATTCATTTTAGTTGTTATGCTTAAGTTACTCCAAATTTATATTTTTTTTTACGTTTATATTGCAAGGAATAAACTGTTTTAATAAAAAAATACAGTATCTTAAAATTTTATCTAGATATAAATGTAATTATACATAACCCAACATGCCTTGTATTAATGCACCTGGTTTAAGATACACAAGTTTGAATACAATCAAGATTATAGTTTAATTTTTATCACTTGAGTGCATCCTGATGTTATAACTTTAAAATAACACCATTTGGAAAATGGCTGATATTAATTTACATCTTGAGAAACCCAGGATGTGAACTTTATCTTGAGATATTGCGTCATATCATGGCTTACACCAACATCATTTTAGAATGTTGTTTTCATGTGATTAATAATACAAGATGAAAGTTATATACAATTTTGTACATATTTGTAAAACACTAACAACAAAACTTGCTAGTTTATTCCTTGCATATTTGAACTTTTGTTAATTTTTAAGCAAAAAAAACCACTACTCCGTCAAAATCCACTACATCTAATCTTTTAAATGTTGGTTAATATCGCTTTCCGAAACACATTCTAAAGTAGTAATACCTCGTACAGGAAACAAAATAGTAAAAAAAAAACGAAAGAAAAATATTAATTAAAAAAAAAAAATTTAATTCATCTGCACGCGATATTTCAACATTAATTTGCTTTATTAATGCATTAATTTTGTTTATCTGTATGATGCGTGCAAATAAATTAAAATAAAGATCCTCCCTTGCAAAATGAAAGCAAAACGGTTATATTTGCGAATGATCATTTGTTAATTTTTGTTAATTCAATGGTTTTTAAACCGCCAAAAGCGACTCATATTGCCAAGGAGTTACATTTAAATAAAAAAATTAAATAAAATTAAAAAAAAAAATCTACTTACTCTGGGTCGTTTTGAAAACTGTGTATTCTTCGAATTGTCACCTCGTTTTCACCGTCTTTTTCTCCTAAAATAAACAAATCTAAATAAGAAAATCCCAACAAAAATAAAAAAATTCTTACTAAAACTATTAGGTCTGTGAGTTTGTCTCCTCCACGTTGGAGCGCTATCGTCGATATTAACATTATCAGGTGGGGGTTGTTTAGGTGGTAAGGACGGAGGCCCTTTAACTTGTTCAGAGGCTTCTTTAACAGCTACTATGTGTACTGGAGGTACGTCGTTGTTCATCGTATTTACTTTGTTCTTTATTTCTGTAAATTTTAAATCATTCAATATATTTCAAATTAAAATAAATTCATTTTCATGCATTTCATTCCAATTAGATGTAGTTTTTTTTAGTAGATGTTAAAAAATAAAATCATAAAAGATACTAATGTCAAAAAAATTAATTCATTTAGTTGTTAATTTTAAATAAATTTAATAACATCGATAAATCCAAAAAGCTCTCTTGTACTAATGAAGACTTTACCGCTTTCCGAATCATCCGATTCCGAATCATCACTCGCCGAATTCGAGTCTGTACCACTCGAACTAGAAACTTCCATTCCTTTAGATTATTTTTTGTATGTTTACAGAGAAGCGGGATGAAAGAGAGAAATAGAATAGAACAAAAACACTCAATCAAAACTTGATCATAACTATTTTTTTTTTTAGTTTTATTTTTATAGGATAAAATCGGTTCAAATACTCACCCACTTCCGATTCCTTCTTCAAATTCTCATCTTCTTCGTTACTTTCGATTTTCACCTCAACACGTTTAACCTTCGTTGGCATCTCAACCTCCGTCGTTCTATCTTGTTCTGGTCGCTTCTTACCCAAACCGCGCATTGCTTCGTCTTTTACTTGTCGCTTTTTTAACATGTCCAAATGAGGTAACATGTCGTTATCACATACGTCAAAAGGTGTTTGCCCCTTAATACAAAATTATAAATTAATCAGATATCAAGTTTAACTTTTGAGACTTACAACAAAATTTTGAGCGTCCATATCAGCCATATTATTAGCTAATAATTCCGTAGCTTCCATTTGACCCCAATGGGAGGCCGCATGAAGTGGAGTCCATCCATCATTATCTTGTTTATTAACATCCGCACCGCATTGTAACAAAACCCTAATAAAAAAATAGGTAGTATAAAATAAATAAACCACATTAAAAAGATCTTTAAGTTTCCTTACTTAATTACTTTAACGTATCCTTTAGCAGAGGCTACATGTAAAGGTGTAGCGCCAGTTTTGGCATTTCCAATGTCAACGGATGAAGTTTTCGAGCTTAACCATTCGGTGGCGTCCCTTAACATCAATCGTTCTTCTTCGCTGCGCGCTTTTTCACAATCGATCCCTCTGGCTTCCACCTCGGATTTTAACAATTCTTCCATCCGTTCACTCTCAGTTATGTCAAGGGCGAGTTCCCCATCGCAATTAACCGCCGCAACATTTGCACCGTGGTCAATCAGGTACTTGGCTATCGAAAGGAAACCGCAACTGGCGGTCGCATGAAGCGGCGTCCAACCCTCGTTGTCGCCACGGTTTACATCCGCCCCATGCTCCACTAGGAACTCCACCATGTCTAAGTTGTCGTCGATACATGCCTGTAAAAAACATAAGTAACATAATAAGTGGCTCCTCCGCCAATTTAGAAAATGAATTTGATTTGATAAAGGGGTATCGAAGAAGTTCTAAAATAAGTAGGCGTTCCCTTGAACCGACGTGTTTAAAAAAGTAAAAGGAACCGCTCGGTACCTACTTTTGTAACGGTCGATTCGGGATAAATCTAGGACGGTCCGAAATAGACGTGTGGCGGTGAGCACGCGATCGAAATCTTGGACGCGGGGTCCCCTCCCGTTTGACAATGAGAACGGATTTCGAAACTTGAAACGTGTCAAAGACGACTCTCTCTAAGTCAATTGGCGTAATGCGGCGAAGACACCGTAAACAAACAACAGGTTGAATCCCCGAACAATTTCTTAACAACATTTAAAAATTAATAGAAAAGTAGAACATTTTATTTGCATTAATACAAAGAATGAAGAAACCCTGATAACTGTTATTGTATCATTTTAAAACCTAACTATGCGTGTATTAGACCACATCCGTTAAAAAACGAGTTCATTAAACTTAACAGAGTATAAAAATAATGTAAAATTTATTATAATGAATTCAATGTTAGTTGTTTGTGAGTGAATAAGGTGTGCAATATAACTGTTTTTTTTTTTATTATTTTTTTACACCTCTCTCTCTCTTCAATGGTGTTATAGCCCTAATTAACTTTTTATATTTTGCCCCCAACACTTCCGATCAAGAGTAACTTTTTTCTAGGTTCTGACACTCATGAGTCATTGTGCATTTTACTGCTTAAGAGCCTTTTTGGCATTTTATTCTCGTTCATTTGTGTCCTATAACCCAATTGCAATCTCATTGCCCCAATCTCCCTTAAACAGATGGTTTCCACGTTGTATAGCCTGCTCCATGTCTACTTCTCCGTTATCGGAGCAAAGATTTTTTTCTTAATCACTCAGTTTACTGTATCACGACTCAAAAATCAAGGTACTTCATAGGGGCAAGTTAAGTAACCAAATAACAGTCAAGACAGAAGTAAAGCAAAGATGCCCGCTATCATCCCTACTCAGTAGTTCAATATTGTACTACATTGGGTTCTGGAAAATGCAAATTTTGCAGAATATAGAACTTCCTAATCAAACTGAATGATTTAGAGTATGCTGATTTCTGTGATGGTTTTTAAGCGCTTGTTAGACGAAAATTATCACAGGTTAACTTTCTCGGGATGTTATTCTTAGAAATTGACTCTGGTTCTTTCTCCATGTGCCAAGTAAGGTTTGGAAATATATTGTTATTGTAAAATAACTCTAAATTACTAAATATAACATTATAAACATTTTTATTTTGTAATCATGATATATTAACATGTAAACATCAATACAATAATATCCATTACTGTAAATATGTACTAACTAAATATTGATGCATCGTTATTTCGTAAATTTTCTAATTTCTTAACAATGTAAAACATATTGAAAAAATAACGTTTTGTTTTGTAAATGTTGACTCATAAAAGATATATGAGAAATATTTCCTATATTCGTTGTGTGGTTTGGTTTTTTTAATAGGAATTTGATACGCTTAGTGATTAACATGGCCAGACAAAATAGTTATACAATGATAACCAATTGCGGCGTCAGCCGACGGCCAAAACCAAACCGATAACGAAGTAGTAAAAATAATTGACGTGTCCGAATCGAAAAACATAAACCTCGTGGAATGGTGTTTGATAAATATTTAATATACATGCACTTTGATAAGATGATAAGTGCTATATTTATAAACTCGAAAATTAATTTAACAATTTTAAGGAAATTTTTGAAAATTGTCGATCAAGTTTGATCTCAATTATAATAATATTTTGTTACTATTTTTAGAACACCCAATAAATGTCCCTACACCACATATACCTGCTAATTTATTAGGTAATATCTTTTAAGCGCTGCTTGAGTATGACATCAGCGTCAACAAGCACAAATGCCATAATTGCATGAGTAAACGTGTTAAATTAGACCTTTAATTTAAAATTTCGTGTTGAGTTAAATACTAAAGAAGTGACATTCTTTTATGTTACAATTTTCTTTCATACAAATAAAAATAAGAACAAATGATAGCTTTTTAGAGCATGATTCCGACAGTTACATAGTGCATTGAATTTGAAAACACCCCTCCGAATTAAAAAAAATAGTATAGAAGAGGTGAAAAGATTCAAATAATCAACTTAAATTCAAGCAACTTCTCTCTCTCTAAGTCCGTCTCCTCATTTCCGAGGAATCGTGACTCTATGGTGTTTAGGTGCACTGATTTGATTCCACCTGAATCGGTCTTTAGCTTCTCTCATTGTTATTTGTAAGCGCTTCTCTATTATGAAAATCCAAATATGGCAACATAGAACCTCTAAACTAAAAGTACAAATTTTAAAATTTGCAATTAGATGAGAAGAAAGATGAAGCTGGAGAAGAGACACCATCGAGGTTCTATCTCCCGACTGTATCTTGCTGATGATGGAAGGAATCCTGTTGGGGTCTTGATTAAGTTTTTACATAAACTTTCGACATACCAGACTTTTAATATCGAATAATTTTATATTTATTACATTATTGAAACAATTTTTAGTAGTTACTTGTACATATTATCTATACAACAATGAAATAAGCTTTTTCACACAAACCTAATATTTTTCATAATTACTCCTTATTAATAACGTTTGATTTAATTACTATTAGCATTTGTGGTACTAAGTATTTGCTTCAAACTAATTAGTTTTTGCAAGAACTAAAGATTACTCATTAAAATGTTGATTTAAAAAAGATATTTTTTGCAAGATAAAAGATATTTCTGTTTTAAAGGAGGAGTTGTTGTATTAACATAGATTTATAATAAATTAAATTTTCGTAAGGTTTATAAACATGAAATAAAAAATATCTTTGAAGAAACAATAAAATTTTATTTATATCCACAAAGAGTCAAGATTTGCGTAATAAAAATCTGCTTAAGCCTACTTTTACCACCTCTAGATAAATTTATCTAATAGATTAATCCAGCTCTTAGCAAATGAGAGTACTTAAAACCGCTGTAACCATTGCAAGTATCCCCTAAGATAGTTTATCAGGAGATTCTGACTTTTATATTTTAGTAAGAGCCTCGTAATCTCAAACTTGTTACAAAATCGTAAAACGTTAGAAAATGTGTAATAAGTTGATGAAAATTGTTAGAAACACGTGAAAGCACAGGAGCAGTATCGGTTTGATTAGTAATTGGACCTTGTAGGTGAGGAAAAGCGGGCGGTTTTCTACACGTACACATATCTCAACGATTATGCGTCCCGATTAAAAATATTCAATGAGTAATCGAAGGAAAAATAAATTATTTATAACGTTAGTTTTATAATAAACGAATTGTATGTTTTAATCTATTTTAACTTGAAGTGTTCATTGACATGTTTATATTTAGAGAAAAAGTCGGCGCGGACTTTAATTTTTTATAGGTTATGGTTTAGAGCGGTAAAAAAAAGGAAATAGGGGTTATCGGTTGATGGAGGGCAATGACACTAATCAAAGAAAATAATATATTAATAAATAGAGATCGTTTAAAATAAAATTTTTAATTTGTATATATATGTGTGGCGTAAAAAACTCAGCTGTGCAGTAGCCATATTGAGTGATTTACGTCACTTGAATCGCGATAAAGGTTCTCGAAAAACTGGAGGAGGTAACATACCTGATGTAGGGCTGTCAAACCATCTACGTTGGCGGTATCAATGTCGGCCCCCTTTTCCAATAATCTAAGCACTTCGTCTTTTTCGCCGGCAGCACACGCCGCAAGAAAAACGCATCCAGAGGAAAACTTTATTTTCCTCGATCTCTGTTTAGGTGTCACTGGTTCGCGATTGGTATCCGATTCCTCCCAACGTTTCAGCTGCTCGACCCTTTTGTGCAGGGCGGACGTGGTGCGTGTCTCCACTGACATCGTCGTTTAGCGGTCGTCGCGCAGCCACGCCACTACGGATTCGCACTACTAAAAATCGTCGTTGTATTCGTAACCGTCGTCGTCGTCGACGTCGCAATCGTCATCGTCGCAAAACTCCTTTTTTCGCACACACTTAACCGAGGGTGCGGTTTACAAAATAAACTTTTTGTCCGACACACACAAACACTGACATCTATTTGACAAACACTCAATCCCACCTCGTGTAGATGGCGTAACGTTTACGTAATAATTGGTCCGAATCTATTCGCGACGTACGAACGACTGAACGTCCCGGGACCGAACCACACCGAACACTTTTAGTTCCATTAATTACCACATTATTTTCAAACGCCTCGCTCTAACAATAAGTTAAAAGTGAACTTTTAAAAAATTGTTTAAAACGCAATTTACCTAATAATATTTACAACAATAATTATCATTTTTATTTAAAGAAATTACTAAAAAATGTTGAACTTGATAAATTTGTGAATAAAACTTATTTAATTTTACCAAAAAATAAATAAATAAATAACTTCCGTTTACAAATGAACCAATTATCAACCCATCTAATTTTATAAAATCAATTTTATTATTTACTGGATAAATTTAAAACAAAAAGGTTTGTAATAAAGTCATTTTTACAACATTACTTACATTATTCATTAATATTAAGATAAATTGGCACATTTATACTAGAAGAATTGTCATAAAATTTGGCAACACACTTTTATAAAAGAATTTTCTATAATAAATAACATAATATATTTTGCTTATATTCCAGTTTCTATTTAAATAAATTTGTGTAAAACTGAAATCGTAAATGTAATAAAGACTAACATTTATTTCTTCCTTAAACCTCATTTACAGTGTTGCCATCTAGTTACAATCTCTAAACCCGACGCCGGTCGGCGAACAACGCCATTTTGACGTGATCATCAGCGTGCATCGTCACGCTTGTAGTGTTCTCCAAGAAAATTGAAATTCCTATGAAATTACATCGACTTTATAATTTTGAATTCTGTTAATATTGGTAAATCAATTAATTGACGTCAAAGGACTCAAATTGGTAAGTAAACTCATAATATTAATAAATTAAAAAAAAAAACCACAACGCCGCCATTCCATTTTCATGGCGTCATTCGGCTTCTGTCATAATTTTCCGGATTCATCGTGTTTTTTCTCGTAATCACACGTATTAAAACACGTTTCTATTTCAGTAACACAATGAGTTACTACCGACCTAAGTGAGTACAACATTTCATCGGCATCAATTAAAAACAATAATTTGTGCACGTTTTTTTTGTTTTTCTCCTTTTCTTGTTACAGCTTTAGCCAAACCGCTGCGATGTCTCGCGGTCGTGGTTATTCATCATCAAGAGGTAGTAGTTATCGTGGATCAAGTCGTGGAACTTCGGCATGGGGTTCTAGTCAACGTGGTAGCTACAACAATAGTAGAGGGTCCGGAAGCGGTGCTCGATTTTCGTCATCGTCATTCAATTCGTCTTTTGACTCTAGATCGAAATATGGGTCGTCGTCTGATCGGTACTCAAGGCCAGATGATTATAGAAAATCGTCCTATAGACCGGTAAAATTAATAAAATTAAACAAAGATAAAAAAAAATTTGATATGTCTTTGTGTTACTTGAAGTTTACATAATTCATGTTACTTTGAGCGTCAAACGAGACTAATATTATTTTATAACTTATTTCCACAAGATGTGTTTATTTGAGTATATCTTACTATAAATAAGTTACACTTTTTTTTAATATTTAATGGCATTTCTGACTTTTTGTTCTAGAGCTTTTTTCTCTCAGAGCTAGATTTATTCCAATTATGATTTGTGCTATATGCACACCATTTGTGAATGAGAATTAAATATACAAAATTGTTAACAGACCCTCCCTTTTCCCTATTAATCCATCATATTAAGGTTTTACTGTACTATTGAATAAATAGTATTTTATATGCTACATTCAGAAATGATATAATGTTTATACCAAGGTCCATAAAGCATATTGTACCAGGTTGGCCAGAGGTAATAGAACGCGTTTTAAAGGGAAGGGAGAGATGAAGTAATTTATCTCAAATACATTGCTTTTCCTAATGAAACACTGATTATAAAAGTTATGTATTTTTGTTTTTTTATTATTTAATTACATAGTTTATATACTTTAAATAGAATACTGTTCTCTTAAAGCGCCTATAACATGTGACGTCACGATTAGGGCATGTGATCTGGACCTTGGTTTATACTTTAAACAAAAAGAAAATATTTAAATCAAAAATATTGAGTCAAAATACCTATTAATGATATTACAAGGCACAAAATAATTGCTAAATACATTTTCTTTTTGTTTTTATAGGACAGTTCTAGATATTCTGGCAGTGAGCACCGTGGGTCTCCAGACCGTAAACGATTGAGAACTGAGGTATGTAAAGGATTAATAAATGTTCTAATATTTAACAGCACAGGTTGACAAATACTGGGGGCTGATAATCAGACACCTATAGAGGGTACACGATTGATCCCTTCACAAAGAATAAATCAAATAGCGAGAGAATGAACGCTGATTTAATAGAAATACTAAGAGAGAATGCAACCAAATTTTGACAAAAATGATATTTAAACTTGTTAAAATGTACGTCTCGAGAGATTTTATTCGATATAGTAACAAGTAATAAACAGATAGATAATAGATTATACCCAACGATTTATTCATCGATTCTTAATTTTTTTTTAATAAACTGGAACTGTAAGATTCGGCGGATTAAAAATAATTTTATTACTTGTTATTTTTTTGGTGATTTTAAAACTGTATGTAAACGTTTTTTTGGATGGTTAAAAGCCATGTTAAACTCGTATCAAATCAATAATAGATATTTTGTAATACCTGACCTGATAGACGTGAAAAGTCTGAAGCAGGTCAAAATACTTAATTGAATCGAACCTAATAAATAGAAATAAAATAAAAAAAAAACCTGAATATGCAAATGTGTTATTGTTGTTATCCAGTCTCTTAGCTCGCGCCATGATGGCTACGGTGGATCAGGTGATAGCTACGGCAGATACGACTCTTCAGGGAGTGCGTCTTACACGGATAGGAGAAGTTTTTCGACCGACAGGAGGCAGTCATCATTTTCTAGGCGCGAAGAATTCCGAAAGCCGGCTCCGCCCGTTTCCTCTAGCCCTCGCGGGGGTTATAGGGGTCGCATCAGTTCAAGGGGTTCGATGCGATCAAGGCTAAGAGAGAGGCCGACGCGCCGCCGTCTCATTGAGAGCTCTTACGTTGTACGGAGACGCACTATCAGACCGTCTGACTACACGAAGAGATTAAAAATGGCCCGTATGAGGAGGTAATTAAATACAAAAACCTTTCTAATAATGCCGAAATGAATCAAAAAAATTATATTATATTGGTGTCGATGTCCCGCTTTCCTCTTCTTCTCCCAATATAAAAAAGGTTTAAATAAAAAAATATTGTTGAGGGTCACTTCTCGATAATAAATTAATAATTGCGACGTTTGGGATATTTTATGGAGGTCGCATCCGAATAATGTGTAAAATCGACACATAAACAAACAAAAACAAATTTCTTTGAGTTCACAGGGTTTTCAATTTATTTTTATTCAACGACGACTGAAGATTTTCTTTTTTTCAAGAGTGAATAGTGCAGACGAAAGTTGTCGACCGTTAGATTAAAACGGCAGATGACTTGCTTTTACACCTTCTGCACGTTCAAACGCACTGAATCAATCAGCCGAATTCACGGAAGAAGAAAATGGAGAAGTTTTTGCTACAAAATGAAATGTTTTCGAGTCACATTGCAAGTTGGTGTTGTTGCACGTGTGACGTGGACTTATCCACGAAGAATTTATTATTTTTTTATTTTATTTGTGTGTTTTAACAGCAAACTATCATTGCAAATTGATAATTTTAAAGTTTTTTCACATTCAATAATTTTTGAGGCAATTTTAGTTGCTGTTACAACATTTTCCACAGAAGCACTAGCACTTTTAATCCACCGTTCGGTTTTATTTCAATGTTTTTAGCGCCGTTGTTCGTCGTTCCATTAAAAAACCGAAGAGTGACGATGAAAGCGGAAACGAAAAAGAAGAAGAATCCGAAGAGAAAAAATCTAAACCGGAAGCTGAAGACGCGGAAGAGGAGAAACCCGGGAATGACGGTGGTGAAGATGATGACGAGGACGATCGTCAAAGTGAAAAGAAGGAGAAAACACCTAGTAAGAAAATAAAAGATGAAAAAGATGAGAAAAAAGACAGCGATAGCGGCGATAAATCGCCGTCGCAAAGAAAATACATCAAATTGGTTTGTCCTCATTGCCAAACTAAATGTACTACGTTTGTAAAGTACAGTTTACATTTGCAAAGTGGGCGTCATATTTCGGCGATGCGTCGCGTTGCTTTGAAACAAAAAGCAATTTTGAGCCGGATGCGTTTGATGCAGAGGAACGCCCAAAGAGAACTTGAAAAGACCACAGACGACTTGGCATCAAGAACTAGTTTTTGCCCATTGTGCAAATTGAATTATAAACAGCCTAAATTAACCCATCAGGCTTCTGAGTCTCATAAAAACATGAAAAAGTTTTTGATGCCATATTGCAAAACTTGCAAGATAACTTTCAAGAGTCCTATGTTGTATGAGAGCCATTGTTGTTCTATTGATCATATTAAGGTTTGTAGATTTTGTTTTTTTTAAACAGCATTAGAAGAGAAAACTCGTCTCTGTGTTACTTGAAGTTAATTTTTAATTTAACTTTGAGCGTCAAACGGGACGGATATTAAAAAAATCTTGTTTTCCACAAGGTGTATTTCTTTTTATATAAATTCATCTTACTAAAAACAAGAAACAATCTTAGAATTATTTAAAAAAATTGGAATTTTTATTGATTTTCTAATTTGTTTGCAGCGTAAATCTAATTCTGATGACAAATCTGATAAAGATGAAGGATCTGGAGCCGATGATAACTTAGAAAACTTTATGACCATTGATTCTGTAGGCGATATGGACGGTAAGAAACGCAACAAATTTTATGTTGCAATTGTTGTCCTTGTGTTACTCAATAATAACCTCAATTATTTATTATTGAGCGTCAAACTGGACAAAAATAAACCTATCCGACTTATCCGAAAAATGTTCTCATAATAATGGTAACAATTTTACCAAGAGTGGGATACAATTTTATTTCCTATAATAAATTTTTATTGGCTCATTTGTGGTTAAAAAATACTATAAAAAACTTGGCACTATCACTAGAACGAATCTATATAGTAGGTATTATAGTGTTAGTTCTAGTTTTCATACTCCCTTTGTCCCAAATTAGGGTATATATTTCTCTAAAATTTATGGATTAAAGAAAGTTTGGAGAATTAACGAGTTTTTATCTATTTAATATAATATAAAGTAATCTAAATTTAATTAATGAAAGAAACTAGAGTTCTGTTTGTCGAAGATTAAATCAAATCGATGTTTTGAGGATATGTGCGACTCAACGCAAGTTAAAAGGTCGTACTACATGACGCTGTAAAAGCAAACGGTTCATAACTAAAGTTATGATTATGGCTGCAGTGGCCATAAATAGTATTTCAATGGCAAAATAGGACTCTGGTCTTTTGTTTATAAAGAACCTGCAAAAAGAAACGGCAAGAACCGGGTAAGAGGAACAATGGTGACCAAAAACATCGAGTCTATCAACGCAGCAGAATGCAAAAAGATTATTGATAACGTTGTACCAGCCATTAGACCCAAGTTGATTGGTTCCAAATTGATGATAATCGATCAAGATAACATAATTCATAAGCAATACCACCATATTTATCTCAGTTTCTTATGCACAAACCCCCAATATCAAAATTGACAATCATCTTGATTAATATCTGTTATGATTAAAAAACTGAAAGTGATAGAGAAAAACGTTTCCCATAAAAATTAATGATAATGAATTAAGATAACATAATCCATAGTTAATGCCACCATAAATATCACCATTTCTTAGGTTTAAGCCAGGAATTCTCAAAATATCAAAATTCACAATCATCTGCGTTAAATTCTGTTATAAGTAGAAAATTAAAGGTGATAGAGAAAAACGTTTTTCATAAAAATTAATGATAATGAATCAAGATAACATAACCCATAGTCAATGCCACCATAGATATTATCATTTCTTAGGTTCAAGCCAGGAATTCTCAAAATATTAAAATTGACAATCATCTGCGTTAAATTCTGTTATAAATAGAAAATTAAAGGTGATAGAGAAAAACGTTTTCCATAAAAATTAATGATAATGAATCAAGATAACATAATCCATAGTCAAAGACACCGTAGATATCACCATTTCTTAGGTTCAAGCCAGGAATTCTCAAAATATCAACATCGCCAGCAAACACCGCCAAAAACTATGAATGAATTAATAGATTGTGTTAAAAGTGCCTTTGACGCAATAACTAAAGAAAAGTTAGATAACGTATTCTCGACACTACAAAAGTGAATGGAGTCAACCATGATGGCCTCAGCAGGCAATAACTATAAAATTGAATAAATTCGAATCTGAGCATGCTACAAAAAAACTTGTAGCAAATTGTATTCTTAACAAAATTGCTCTCACACGCATAGATATCGAGAAAAATATGAAAATTCATGAATAAAGAAAAGCTTCGCCATGAAGGGCGTTTACATTGAACCAGCTGAATTGTGTTTAAATGTGTAAACTTTTTATTAATGTATGTTTAAATTAAGTGACAAATTGAATTACTAATTTTACAAATAAGACAATAAGCAGTTTCCAAAGTTTTGTATACCATAATTTGAGACAAATTGTAAAGAGAAATGTATACCATAATTTGGAACAGAGGGATTTTTTCTATTATTATCCACGAATGTTTTATAATTATAATTTATTCACCTTTATATAACAAAAAAAAAAATTTGGTCATTTTATCATTTTTTCTAAATGATGCAAATGGATTAAGTAATAATTAATTTTTTGTTTTAGAAGAAGAACGTGAAAAGAAAAAAGAAGGTGAAGACACAACAAAACCAAAAGAAAGTATAAACGTTGGCATAGAACACGTAAAAAAAGTTGAAGTTTATTATTGCGATTTATGCAGTATGTACTTACCGCGTCGTGAAGAATCAGAAATGCCAAAAAAAATTGCAGAACATTGCAAATTACGCACTCATTTACGACGTTACGTTAGTTACAAAGAAGATAAAGAGTTGGCAAAACGAGCTGAACGTTTACAAAGGCGTGAAACGTTGGAAAAGGAGAAAGAGAAAGAAAAAGAAGAAATTAAGCCCGCTGACGATTCAACAATAAAATCTGAAACTGGTGGAAAAGAAAATGGGGAAGCTAGCTTGAATGAAGATGAAGGTGATGAAAAGCTTTGGGCTGATGTTGATAAAGACTTGGGGATTATCTTGGCGGAAGCTGAGTCAGGGAATAAAAGTTCTGATGAAGATGAGGATGATTCCTTTGTGGGTGGGAGATACGATAGATTCAAGACTGGCGAGAAAAATGTTGACGAAAAGAAATTGGCGGATGATGGTAAAGAAGATGAATCGATGGAAACTGAAGTTAAAGAAGAAGAAACTCCTGAAACTGAAGCTAAATAAAGTAGTAAAGAGTTATGTGTTGGAATTTATCGATTTACTAATTTCAAATTGAGTTTTTATATTTCCATTAGTTTTATATTCTAATTAAGTTGAATACATTATAATAACGATACTTCTAGATGGTTAAACAATGTGTGTCTCGTGTTATTTTGGATAATCTATTTTGTGGTTGTAAATAAGTTTCTTGAAAATTAAATTAGAAATAGACGTTCAATCTCCAAATTATTTGTTTTATTTGTGTTCATTTCACGTTAATTATTTCGTTAGTTAAATATTTCGTAATAAAATGAATACCAGCAATCCTGGGTGGTATATTTCAAGTTTACAACAACAGTTTATTATCTCTTAACTCATATCAAGATTATTAACAGCCCTCTTAAGATGGTATGCAGTCTCAGCTCCTTCTGGCAATAAAACAATCTCATCAAGCACCGCGAAGAAAAGGAACACGTACAGTTGTATAGCAATAAAACCATGAAACTGCATCGTATTTCATTTTGGACAGTTAATTGAGATGGAGACTGCTTTCTGCGAATTATATATAAAGATTTATCGCTGTACAATCCTTTAGGAGACAATAGATCGCTCCGAGCGGTCACAAAATCAAAGCTACCGACATCAAATTTTGATATTTATAGTAAGAGATATGAAAAAATTTTATGTGAAACATTTTTAAGAAATTAACTGTTATCAAAACTTTAAAATCTTTTAGCATAACATTCACCAGTTCTTCTGTATATCTTATTTAGATCATTTTTGTTCTAAAGACAGATTCTATACTCATTCATGAACAATATTTTTTTCCACTGTCCAATTAATGTGTACTCGGGCAAAAAGCAAGTCTAGATTTTTTGTGAGTTGCAGTAAGGTTCTGTAGCTGGATTGCAAGTTGTTAAACCACTTTCTCTTAATGTTTGACGTAGCGGTTTGATCTTTCATTGCAGAAATTTTCCAGCACCTGCTTACACAGAGTTTGTAAATTTGAGCAGTGTAAAGTTTTTGGCAATTTCATTTCCTACTTCTTTGGAAAATTAGTTTTTCTTACATTTTTACTCTTTTAGTTCTGAAGTATCTAAAACAACAAACATTGGGATAAATAATTTTGCCATTTTCTATTCTTTATAATAACCAGTTTTCCTTCAATTTTTGTAAATCTAGCGTTGAACAGAATTTCTGATCAATGTAATTAGAAGTGCATCTTATTTCTCATCATCTCTAAAGCAGCAAAAATGGAAAAAAATGTTTTTGCCGTTTCATATTCTTTTAAAAAATCGGTTTTTCTTGATTTTTTGCTAATTTCGGGTTGTGCAGAAATACCTGAAACAAAAAACATGGAGATAAATATGATTTTTATTACGTGTATCTGTAACTTTACTTCGACAATAAATAAAAATCGATCCAACAAAATTTATCGTGTTTACCTCCCCCCCGTATACAACAGGCAAACAAATCAAACTTCCCTAACACTGAAAAAACACAGAAAAAGAAATAAATAAACAATGTTTCAACATCGTCCCCTCCCTTATTTTTCTCGAGATCTCATTCCCTTTGCCCTTTTCGTGGATCCATCCCCTTAACGTCGTTAACGTTGGAAACTACGGCGTTTGACGCTTCGTCCCCACTTCGACGATTCAAGCGATTCCGATTCTTACGCAAACCTTTGCTAGGGTAACAAATCGTATGCGCGGGTCGTGTTTTGGGGGGCGAATGTTGCAGCGTAGGCGAAACGACGAGGTGGGCGGGGTTAGGGTTCCGAGAACAAGTGAAAATCAGAACCCCGCTAACTCAATCAGGGCGGCCGAATTTTCGGGGCTTTCCCCTGGTGCTCGACGGATGTATAACGAACGACTTGTGTCGCTTCTAGAGGAAGAAGAGGAGTCGAATTCCCCCCTGCTCCGGTTGTCTCACAGCGTTTCCACAGTAAGTAATGCTTCCGATAAATTACCGTTCTCTCTCTCTTTTCTTTCTCTTCAACACCCGGTTCGGTATAAACGTGTAATTATTTCAACGTGAATTATTCGATGACTACCGGTAGCCGATTGGCCAATTGAATTTCTGATTAATATTCGATGTAGTATACATCCGTTGGCATCCAATTAGACGAAGTAATGATGTACTTCTATCGCAATCTTTAAGAATAATATAGTTCACGTTATTTATCATTATGATTTGTTACCTTACGGTACACTTCTACTAAAATATAACTCAATTATATTAAATAATAGAACAATTTTGATGAAAATAACCGTTTATTAGTCGAGTTAAATCTGTCACAACACGTCCGCCTTCGATGCAAAAAAGGGGATGCTGCCACCCTCATCCATATTCTTTTCGCCCTTAGCTTGTAAAGGGTGACGTAATCGTCGTCGATAATTTGGCCTTCGTCGGGCAATAGTCAGCACAATAGGCGATCAGGGTGCGTCCAGGAGGCTGACCGCAGAACACCGCCAACGTAAGGGTTGTTATTACGTCCCGTCCCTAGGCAGGAAGGGAAGAACTGGTTATTAGGCTCCGATTGATATGGTTATGCAATTACCGACTTTGCCCTCTAGTCTCAATAAAACTCAACCCATCCACGCGCCTACTCTTTTATCTAATTATATACTTACAATAGAAGTTATGACAACTTTAATTTTATATATATATATTTTTTTTTGTTGATGAGTACATAAGTATTGATTTCTATTTCAGTATATTCGAAAATTTGTAATTCCCCCAGCGAATAAAACAATAGAATTAGTTCCCCTCTTATAACCGCCGCCCCCGATGGAAACTTCACGTTTGACGATCCCGTGTTAAACGAATCGAAAATAACTCGCGCAATTGGATTCCTGCACTATTCCTATCTCTTTCTTTCCACGCTTCTAATTATACGAAACCAGACCGCATTAGTCATGGTTTTAAGCTGTCCCAAAAAAAAAGATCTTTCTACATTTCTTTTTTGTTGGTGACGATTCGATTTAAATAATGTGACGTTGATCGATCCGTTGCGAAATGCGTGAAAGATGTATCGATTTTAACCGTTAGAGGGTATCCAAAAAATAATGTTACTAATAAAAATGGTGAACTTAAAAAATTGTAGTTTTTGCAAACTGTATTTTTGTGGCAGGTGCAAGGCTTCGCAAACAAATCAATCTTTTGTTCAAGGCACTTCTCTCTGGATGGTGATTGGTTGATGGCAGAGGCGTGGCAACTAGAACTTTACGCTCCTCCCTTCAACTCCCCCACTTATTGTTTGTTACTGTATATATACACTATGTACCAGCTTTTTCATGTAAATATATATAAATTATACATTGTCAGAATATGTAGGTGGTATAGAATGTAGTGGTATAGAAATATTGATCTTTATACTTAATATACATTTCAGATGATATTGTTATCCCTCAAATTTATAAAAAAAAGTAATTTATGTACTACAAAAGAATGTGGTACAACTAAAATTACTAACACCAAGTTATGTAATCTTTTATTTTGTCTGCTTTTATCTGTTCTTTACAAATATTATATGTATATATACTTCCGATTTGTCAAAAGATAATGAAACATTCTGATGAATGTGCATTAAAGAGAAGCAGTGTGACACTATCAACTTGGGCAACTTGTGTTGAAAATCATCTTACCACTCTGCACTTATAAATCGCCGTGGTGGATAAGTAAGTATCTTATAAGTACTTTAGGTCAGTTAGGGTTTAGTTGAGTTGTTGTGTTATTGAGTCTGTAGAAGTTAAAATTATGGGATATATTTACTTTCTGCACCAATTGGTCCATCTCATTTTGCAGTGTAATTATACAATATTTGCTTACATTCATCACTAAGCCTCCTACAAAAAAAAATTATTTTATTTGCTTGGCAGAAACTGTATCTTCTACAGATTAAGTGCAATGGGACAACTTTGACTCATAAGCTGCCGAAAATTCTAAAGAATGTTGAGCAGAAAATTATTAAGAGAAGACAGTACTTTCTCGAATATTTATATATACTAAAATTTTAGCTTTAGCCTGCTACAAAATTGTTTTGCAAATCTAATTTTTGCTCATCACTTGGAGAATCCTTCTTAATATCATTTAATAATTTGTTACCTCAAGGTATTTTTGCTTTTGAAACAACAGAGTCTTTAGATTTGGTTGTTGGGAAGTTGTTTCCAACACTTGTCCAATTTCATTTAATCAGAATTTGGCAAAATTATTATTGATACATGCTGTATAGGATCCAAAATGAATATCCATACAACAGGATACTGAGTACACACTTTTTTCTATGGACCAACACTACCATGCTGATTCAATTTATACTGATATCAAAACGGTGTTTAACTGGGTTAATCATAACCTTTCGATGTCTAAATTTCATTATTTAGGAATCACGTCATAATTATTTCGGAACAGAATTCCAGAAACTCTACCTGTCAATTCGAAAATAGTTCACCACCGTTTCATACTAGACCTAGAGCTAGAACATTCGGGTTTAGTCGACCTGAGAGACGTACGGCTAAATCCGAATGTTTTTAGCTTTAGTTCTAGTGATAGTGCAAGTGTAAAACTAGAACTAGAATCATTCGGCTTTAGCCGTCTTTAGAGACGTGCGGCTAAACCCAAATGATTCTAATTCTAGGTATAGTGTTAGTTCTACATAGTAACAGTGCAAGTGTAAAACTAGAACTAACACTGTACCTAGAATTAGAATTATTTTGATTAAGCCATCTTTAGAGATGTGTGGCTAAACCCACACGATTCTAGTTCTAGGTATAGTGCTAGTTGTTCTACATAGTAACAGTGCTAGTGTAAAACTAGAACTAACCCTAGACCAAGAACTAGAATCATTTGGCTTTAGCCGTCTTATGAGACGTACGGCTAAACCCGAATGTTTCTACTTCTAGGTCTAATGTTAGGTTTAGTGTAAAAGTAGAACTAACACTATACCTAGAACTAGAATCATTTGGGTTTAGCCGCACGTCTCTAAGGACGGCTAAACCCGAATGATTCTAGTTCTAGTGTTAGTTCTACTATTAATTGTTATACTAGATTAAAGTTTCTGCATTTTTTTGTATGGTTATGAAGATTTTGACCATAATTGACGTTCACTGCAACCCAACAAGAGATATCTCTTGTAACTCTTCAAGTAATATTGACTTCAATATGTAGAAAGGGTAACCGTTGTTGAAAAGTATTGAGGAACAAATGTTAATGATTGCTCTGCAAAAAAGGGCACTATATCAAAG